CCCTACACAGCCCACATCTGTTTGGCAGCCCTGAATTTTTTATGTGTAACTTGGGGGAGAAAGTTAAGTTTGCGATATGTTTAACTGCAAAGGATGCTTCCTGCTAATTCCCAAGGAGGCTGTGACCTGTCCTCAGGTCCAGAGCGAGCCAGACATTTCCTGCCCGCGCACCGGGTTGCTGCAGGGTGTTTTGCTTGGGCTCTAAACTGAGCCCAGAAATTTCAAATGCAAGCCAGTGAGCGAGCGTAGCAAATGCATTTTATCCCCTCGGCCTCAGCTGATTCTGGAGCATTTCAAGGAGAGCAGCTGGACTCAAAGGCAGGAACATGGAGGCCCCACATCTCTGTGCCCACTGGGGTGCCGGCTCGGCAAAACTTAGGACAGAGGGAGGAAGCAGCCAGAGGGAAGGGCCTCAAGTGCGAAAACCTGTTTCCTAACCCAAAGTTCAGCAGTGGTGGGGTCCCCAAGGCTCTGTGGGGAAGAGACTTCTTAATCCCTGCAGGAATACTTCTTAACCCCCACCAGGAATACACATGGCAGTGTGCAGTTGCCCGGGGCTGCGGAGGACGGACAAGCGCTTCAGTGGCACGGGACAGCCGAGCGCGGCGCCGGCCTCTCGCCGGCTCTTCCGCATGCACGTCCACGTCAACACACACTGCAGGATTTACCCACCCCTGTCCAGGTCAGCCCCAAACACCTTTCTCTGCTCTTCGCCCTCTGCTTAACCTGCCAGGCTGCGTTGGCAACACAAAGGAGGAAATGAAAAGCAAATTCCAGCACAACGCACCAGTCCCCACTGGGGCAGACGTGAAATCCCCCGAGCTGCTGCCCGCCCTCGCCCCCTGTCCCCAGTCCCCAGGGGAAGCCTTACAGCCCCTCCTGCGGCTTCGCCCCTTCCTCCAGGTCAGGAGCAAACCCTGTGTGGCCATGGGGAGGGGACAGCCCCTTACCAGCTGTTTGTTATGTGCCTCCTTCAGGGTGATGACGCTGTGGCCCCGGTGGCATCCCGTGACAGAGCAGAGCACGCAGATGCACTGCCCCTCATCCTGGCAGTAGAACTCCATCAGCTGGCCGTGCTCCTGGCACCTCCTCTCCTCCACCACACCGCCTGCGCCCACCTCCACCAGGATGTGCTCCTGCTGGGAAGCCTTGGCGTTGTGTTTGCTCAGATGGGCCTGGCACAAAGAGGCGTTGCAGGTCAGGCAGGTTTTCACCGCTGGCTGGGGCTGATCCAGGCAGAAATCACAGGGAACCACCTCCATCCCCCCTGCAGAGCCCTCACCCTGTTTTCCTTTGGAAGTGGTAGCCAGAAATGCCTCCACGATGCTGCACAGCTGGAAATTCTTCTGCAGCTCCAGGATGGGCCCCAGCTGGATCTTGCACATGGGGCAGGAGTAAGGGGCCTTGGATTTCTGCTGGGCACCGAGCGCCTTCTGGATGCACTGCTTGCAGAAGCTGTGACCGCAGCTCAGCGACACGGGGTTCTTGTACAGGCACAGGCAGATGGGACAGCTGAGTTCATCCTCCAGGCTGGCACCCCCTGTAAATTCTTCCTTAGCTTTTGCCATGGCTGCAGAAGTAGCGCGTTAGCCAGTCTGCAAGAAACGAAACTGAAAGTACGTCCTTGGCATTGTGCCCCGGTTGTAGACCCAGCCCAGAGGCTGCAAACCCTGCCTCTCCGCCCTGTGATAGGCCGGCAGAAATACGCTCTCCGTCCTGGGCTCTGCCCACAAACAGCTCTTGTAAACCATGGCAGGCACTTTTAGATGTATGTCCTCGGTTGCTGTGTGGTCTCAGGCAGCATCGCTCCGTGCGTGAGCCCCCAGCAGGCTGGTGGGAGCAGGAGAGGCACTCGCATGCAGGGCATGAGATGGACGATTCTCCTACAGCCCTCTGCTCTCTCGGAAAAACCCTCCATCCCATGCCAGGGGCAGCAAATCAGAAATAAGCCATGGACAGAAAGAGTATAAGCCTGGCTGGGGTAAGCCAGGAATTCCCTCTGCTTTGCCCGGTTCTTCCCCGTAACAGTTACAGATGCTCCCCTGAAGGTGAAGTAGGGAGAACCCAGGAGAGAGTTTTCCTGGGAGTTGTCGAGGCTGGTCTCCTACCTGCAGCCAGCTGGCAGGGAAATGGGGGCTGCGAAAGGCTCAGGGAAAGGCACCCTAGGATAGGAATATCCCTGTACCGTGTCACAAGCCTTGCTTGCCTCACTTTGTGCCCATGTCACCTGAGCCCAGGCAAGGCAGCAGCCGCTGCACGTGCCGCTGGGAGACCCAACTCTACCTGCACGGTTTTCCGTATCATTTTGGTGTATAAAATCCAAAAGACAAAACACAAGACGCTTTCTTCTAAGACTGAACAAGGATTTCTTTTAGCATATGCAAAACTGTAGTGTCCCTCAAGGTCCTTCGCTGTCCCTGCTGGGGTGGAGAGCTCCTGCCTGCATCTCTTCATGCAAATGTCTGAAGGCAGCAGAACCACAGGCAGCAGGCAGGAATATCACCGCTTCCTCTTCAAGGTGTTTGGACAATCATAACAACGAACTAATCCAGGGCCCACATGGCACAGACTAAAGGCACAGGAGTTTTCCTCTTTATTACTCCCTTTGCTGTGAGATTCTTGTTAACTGAAACACCTGCACCTCTCCTAGCTGCTCCTATGTAACTCTAAAGGGGGTTGATATCACATTTCAAGAAATGCTGACCTTTCACAATTTTAAAGTGTCTTTTTGCTTTTTGTTTCCAACTACAGCAATTCTTCAGTTTTAGTTTTCCATCATTGCCCTGCAGAGCTTCATTAGCCATTCTTAAAAACTCCCCAGATTAACTTCCACATACAAGAAATGCATGAACAGTGGCACAGCCATTTTATAAAAGCTTATTTGCTTAGGATCATTTGAAGTTATTTTCTAGAACTCTCAAAACTTCCTAGCGTGACCAGTCACAAGTTAATTCTACACTCAGGAATGTGGAGAATGTTTTTATTCAAACCTTCTCTTGCAGATAATGCATTTCAATATCATGGTATTTTCTGCTCTGAAAGTTACTCCTTCACGAAACTGAAACAGTGGCAGTACTTCGGCACATAACCAAAATTGCTCAGATGGCATAGATAGGAAAATGTGGATCTGCGGAAGCTTTCTAGCCAGAATAGGTCTGGCCTATGCTCACAGGGATGGTAGAGACTGAGCTCAGGAGTGCCCGTGAGCATGGTGTGCTGCTTAGTGCACCCAAGGCCGTAGGGATGGCGGCCAGCCCGGTGTGCACCTCGCACACTCTCGCACACGCTCGGACAGAGCCTTCCCACCCCAGCCATCTCTTGGGCTTGACCCTCAGCTCACTGTCAGCAAGGGCTCAAGCACCATCAAGAGAGCAAAACAAGGGAGCCCTCATTTTTTCGATTCAGTTGGACAAGCATCCCACTGTGCACAGCACAAGGGCTGTAGGTTGATCTTACAAAAATTACAAAAGAGTAGAATTGCTTACATAGAAAGAGCAGATTATTTATGTGTAAGACAAACTCCACCTGCCACTGCTGTGATGAGTTCTAAACTTTCCCCATGCTTTGGATCAAAGTGATGCTACAGAGAGAGGAGGTGTTGCTATTCCATTCTCTCAATCCTCCCAGAAAACTCCTAGGACATCCACACCTCTTTACCCAGAGCCCATTTTAATAGGGTGTATTCAAGGCATGTCCCAAAGCACTGAAGCCCAGGACAAGCACCCTTTTATGTACACATATGTGAAAATAATCAAATGCAATGTTAGTAATCAGTTCTTCTAGAGGCACTTAGTGTCTTATCACAGTCCTTTCTTATATGTGTTTTGTTAGCTCCTCTGTCTTGCTTGTCACGTAGTGAAATGGTCACTTACCAGGTGGGGCTTTGAACAAATGCATGTCTGAGAGGAATTGCTGGAAGAGCCTTAGAGTGGGGTCTGTTGTTAATTCATCCAAAATAACGGGTGGCTTTGGCAGTTTTACACCACCTTTGTTAGACACTGGCTCGCATTTCCTAAAACATGCAGAAAGACATCAGAAGAGCAGCAAGTCATCAGAAAACCGTCACTGAGCCACCCCTGAGCCAACAACTGCATCCCCCACTCTGCACCCAGCCTCGATGGGCGATACAGAAAGCAGCTTCTGTGTCGTGTGCCCCCCCCCCAGCTGTATGGGGCACTCCTGCTCTGACCGGTCTTTTCCCAGGACCCCAAATCTCTTCACCATCGTTGAGCATCACAGGGCTCCATCGGGACATGGTCTGTTGGGGGCTCTGTGCTGTGCTTGCTCCGGTGGGCACAGGGAGGCCTTGCAGCTCGGGTGGGTCTTCATGGCTGGCTGGGGCTCCTGCAGGTAGAAATCACGCCGCATCGCCTCATCTTGCTGGCCCGAACTGTCCCCCTTCTCTTCGCATTGCACTTCACGCTTTTCCTCCTCTCGATGAGTGGGAGCCTCCAAAAACTTCTGCAGTATGCTGCGGAGGTGGATGTTGGGCTGCAGCTCCATAGCAGGGTCTGCCTGGGCGTAGCAGGCAGCTGAAAGGGCCCTGCGGGCAGTGCCGGCAGCCACACGCCTCCTGGATGCGCTCCTTGCAGAAGCTGTGAGCGCAGCTCAGGGACACGGGGTGGCTGGAAATGCCCTGGCAGATGGGACAGGTCAGGTCCTCCTCCAACGCAGCTGCAGCCCCCGTGCTCGGCCGTGGTGCCTGAGCTGCCACACGGGGCTGAGCGCCAGAGGGAGGGAGCTGCTGCTGCTCCCCCTTGCAAGGGAAGGTCGTCCCGCTCCTCCACCCGGCTGCCTGCCTCGTGTCCGCCACGCTGGCAGAAGCCATGGCCCTCGCAGGGTGAAGCCCGCGCAGGCAGCTCCGGCACCAGCAGCTTGGCCGCTGCAAGGGGAGCAGGGTAAATAGTCCACCCCTGCTTAAACGGGGAGTGCAGCGGCCAGGAAAGGGCTTCTGTCTGTGCCCTGGGTAACTTTTCTTTATTCCAGTCCACTTGTAAGTATTTCTTGAGATAATATCTGGCAATCCTCCATCCTTAAAGCCTGTCCCTGTGTCCACTAGCCCTTTTCCCTGCTCCAGCACTGCCCAGGTTCTTACCTGCCCTCAATATTTGAGTGCAGAGAAGAAAGCAGGAAGAAAAAAGCAAGTTTCCCTCGCTTCCCTTCAGCCGGGCACGTGTACCATGGCCCAGCCCTCCGGGAGCTGTAAGAGGGCTCTGCTCAGGGCAGCTCCCTCCTTTCCTCCTTAGGGTTGTTAAGGCTTAGACTTTAGTTTCTGCTAGAAACAGGATGGCATAAAAGGCTCCTTCGTTCCAGGAGGAGGGGATAGAGGAGAATGGAGGCAACTTATTTTTACTTATTTTTATTTTAAAAGCTGCTCCTTTCTCTGTTCCACCAAAGGCTGGTGTTATTGGACTGCTCTGGTTGCTCCTGGGCTCCCGAGGACTTGTTGAACACGTATTACTTGAACAAAGCGAGACTCGCTACTTGGCTAAATGCCCAGAGGAGCAATAGTTATTTTAGTTATTTTACAAGAATTCATCATACAAATCTCTTCCTGACAGTATTGGCCTCTCAGTCCTCTCTGACGTGGTGCACCTGCTGGGGGTAGGTAGAATTATTCCCTCCATAGCAGAGAGCAAGCTCCTTTTCAGCTTGCTGCCTATTACCTGCTCCCTAATGCTTTCATATGACCTTGGCCCACTGAATAGGGATGTTTCAGATGTTGGCTGTAATTTCCAGGTGATGTTTCTTATTCTCATTCCTAACCACTCTGTATCCTTTATCATTTTTTTTTTCCTCTCCTCCACGGGGTTTGTGGCTTCACACTTCGCTCCCGCTAATCCCTTTTCCACAGTTGTCTTCAACGTGGCTAACACTGTGTGCAGTGCTCACCTGGCTTTGCTGCTCCCCAAAGCACACAAATCTGCTGCTTTCCATCGCCCTTCCCCACCTCCTCCAGCGTGGCAGAACTTGCATTTGCAAATGCTGCCCTTGCACGTGGCACCGGCTGACTGCCACGCTGCTGTGCGCATCCCAACCCCAAAACCTGGCGCTGCATAGGGAAAATCTGCTTGGAGCCTGTGAGGGCTGCAGAAGGGCTTGCTCCACGTGGGACCCTGTGGGAATTTTGTGGATCACTCTGGGTTACTTGCTGTGCCCTGCTGGCAGGCACAGGCTGAGACAAGCTGCTGCTCCGCCGCTGCATGCTGCTGTGGCCAGCCACAGTCTTGCTGCCACACGTGCTGTCTGCAAATCGACAGCCTAAAAATCTTCTTTCTTTACCCTTCATTAATTAAAGTTCTTAATCCTTTCACTGAAGAAAAATTAATTTCCTTCATTTCCTTCAGGAGTTTGAATAGCCAGTAGATGCTGGAAGCTGCAGGTAATGGCCACTGTAAATAATCTGCTGGTACCTCCTGGGCTGCATGGTGCATGGCCACAGCCAAGCAGGTTTTTAACTCTTCCCTTTGGCCTCACAGCTACCCTGATGTGGCCCCCCCAACACACCAGCAGCACTGAAGGGAGGGCAAATTCAGTAGCAGGGGCAGAGCGTATACCAGAAGCACTGTGGAGAGAGCAAGGGCTAGTTGCCTGATGCATTTATTTTTCTGTAT